CAAACTTGAAACCATCGCCTTGCATTTTGGGACCTTTGCAAACATAGGCGGCCCAAGCCACACGAAGGAGCACACACCAGCGGCCATGGCTAACAGTGAATTGCATGCCCGCCCTTTCTACGTCTGCAAAACATGAAACAACAAACCTACCACGGTAGCCAACGGCACGCCCTTCGTCTGACGAGCGCGTTACGAGAGTAATCCGACCAAGATCAACAACACCTTGAAATGTCGCCGTAGGGCCCACGCCCTGCGTTACGTGCCGCAAATACCGCGATGGCATGCATCGAAAACAACAGGCCAGCAAGAATCAACCAGGTCAGACGACTCGCCACTCCCATCCCCCGCCCGCGCAACCCTCTCTCCTCCCTCGCCCGTGCTCCTCTCTCTCCCCTCTTCCACGCGCCTCTCTTCCTCCGCCCTCTCGCCTCTCTCTTCCTCTGCCCGCTCACCGCTCTCTTCCTCTGCCCGCTTGCCGCCCTCTTCCTCCGCCCGATCGCCTCTCTTCTCCTCCGCCCGCTCGCCTCTCTCTTCCCCCGCCCGCTCGCCTCTCTCTTCGTTTGCCCACTCGCCTTTCTCTTCCTCCGCCCGCTCGCCTCTCTCTTCCTCCACCCACTCGCCTCTCTCTTCCTCCGCCCGCTCGCCTCTCTCTTCCTCCGCCCACTCGCCTCTCTCTTCCTCCGCCTGTTCGCCGCTCTCTTCCTCCGCTCGCTCGCCTCTCACTTCCTCCACCCACTCGCTCGGAGCTGAGGAATATACGCAATGGGCAGGAGGCCAAGGCAGGGAGCAAGCAGAAGAATGGATCCCTTTCTTCTTTATCCTTCTCCCTCCCTCGCTCTTCCTTGCCCCTTCCCTTTCTGGCTCCCATCAGGTGCTTCTCTCGGAGCTGAGGGATATACACAACGGGCAGCAGGCCAAGGCAGGGAGCAAGCAGGGCACTGGCTGCCACTCTGCTGAATGTCCCCATCCCTCTGTACCGCTGTCAACCGCTTGCTGCCCCTACCAGGTGCTGCGCTCGTAGCTGAAGGACATGCGCAATATGCGGCAGGCCAAGGCAGGCGGCAAGCAGAAGATCGACCAAGGCAACAACTCTGGTGGGGAGAGCGCCAAAGACTGGTTGATGCATCAGACTGGTTGTTGCCAGGTCTTGCCTTCCCCAACCAACCCACCCCACACCCACCAACCCAGCTTCCCCATGCTGCATCTGCTCCCCCACAGATTCCTCCCCTATGTCGCGGGTACGGCCTCAGCATCCCGTCTCTTGATGGGCAACCCAACAGCAGTGTTTGTTGCCTATCAATCCAAAGTCCACACTCGCCTCCATCCCATGGCAGGCTGGATCCTATGATGCATATCCAGATGAGTCTAGTGTTGAGCTCTTTAGGGCAGGCAAGTGCCACCATGACACACCATACTCTTTCATGGGCTATGTACCAGCTTCCGCATTTCTGGGATTATCCAAGATGTCTAAAAAAGGTCATTGGTAGATGAAGGCACTCCAAAGGCCCTTGGTGATAGGTCATAAATACGTATCAAAGCAGCAGCATTCCAATCTCTAATAGATAACCCTGCATATCACGGTATAATCAGGGCTGTTTTTGTGGTTAACGCAAGAGTGTCTCTGATTTGCCCATCGCGAATGACTGTTAGCAAGGTGGAAGGAAGATGTTGGAAATATCTCAAGGACTTAAGCGTTTCTGAAGTGTAACACTGTACTCGAGGAAGATTACAGGGGAGCACGCGAGTCAACGGAGGTTACACGAGGGGGCGGACAAAGAATGCGAAAGGACTCGAAAGGTCGCAACTGGAGGTTGCGACTGACCGTTACAACATCACGGATGGTAACCGAAGCGGCAATCGAGTCGCTGTGCGACTCGATAAACCGTTCCTGTAACTGTATTCTACAACTGCTTTCTTATCTACTATATATTGCTGTATGCTTGTTTCTTTAATCAATCACTTGTTCTCACATACTAGTACAAGGGTTCAACCGTCTCAACTTCCGCTGCACTACTCCAAGTCTCAAGTCTCTACAAGCTGGGACTTAGTCTCTGCAAAAGATCCTAAGGGCTTTTCTCAGCCCAACATGGTATGAGAGCTGGTCAGAGACCAAACTCCCAGCAACTACGTCCTATCAACAACCTGCAACTCAACTCAATTCAACGACTTCATTGATTACAAGACATGGACAACAAGGGCAAGAAAGTCTCTACGGGCTCACCCAGCGCCCAAGAAACTCAACACGGCAACTCTGGTCTGCACACCTCAGGACTGCAGACAGAGACCGGGACTGCTCAAGAAACAACGGGAAGAGTACCAGAGATGGTGACCCCGTCTCCCTCTTCAAGTGTGGACCCGAATCTCATGGAGAGATTCTTCAGCTTCATGTCACACTTCGATCAGCAGCAGCAGACAAGGACACCTGCGCACTCAACACAGAGCAATGGAGGGAATATGGGATTAGCGCCGATGAGCCTCGACAACTCATCCTTCGGGCGACACAATCAAGCGCCTACCTTTGCGCCTTATCATTCTTCGCCGGGGACGTTCGAATTCATGCCGCCCCGTGCCCAGCCAACAGCAGCTGCTTCACAACAAACACCGAATGAAATCTTAAGTTTACAGGCGCAGTTCTCACACGTGATCAAACTTCAGACATCCTCACCGTTCAACGGACACGACTTCTTTACCTGGAGCTTCGAGTTCGAGCTGCTGATGGAGGCCGCGCATCTTCTGGGATACTTCAACGGGTCCCTGCCATTCCCAAGCAACGGCACTGGGAAGGAACAAGAGATCTTCACGTATCAGTCGCTGCTGGCGTACACGGTACTCCTGAGAAACCTGTCACCACAAGAGCAGCAGAGCATCAGAACGTATCGGAGTTATGGAAACTCCGCGGAGCTCGCATGGCACCACCTCAAATGCCTTTACCAAGCAAACGACAGCGTGACACAAAGCAGACTCATGCAACAGCTGACAACAATACAGATGAAGACCGGGGAAAAGGCGATGCAGTATATGAGTCGCTGCCAGACCCTCCGCGACCGCCTGCTTCGGTGCGGAGGAACGATCACTGAAGAAAGCTTCGTGACACTTGTCCTCGCCGGGCTCGGGCCAGAATGGAGAACCACACGATCACTTCTTCGAGCCCACGGAAGAATTTCGGAGATGCACCTCTGCGCCGAGCTTCACGCTGAACAACAGGAGATGGATCTGTTCGAGGAAAGACAACCAAGGAAGCAACAGCAGTTAGTCTTCTACACTCAAAGAAGAAATGACAACAACTACAACCGACGCAGCAAGCAAGATCAACGTGACAACCGAGGACTCACCATCGTGCCGCCGTTCTGCCACAACTGTCAGACTTCCGGGCACTCCAAGGTCAACTGCAACCGCCCTCGCGTTTACCGTGCAGCAGACCCACAAGTCGCTTCCACTCAAGCAAGTCCTCCAAGGCGCTCTTCAACATCTGCACAACAAACACCCAACATCATCAACTGCATGGTACACATCGACAACTGCGCACCCGCTTCACCACCCACTTACGCACCAGACGAAGAGGAATTCCCGCCGCCGCGCTCGCAAGGACTTCAGGTCAACCCGACATACGCTGCAGTCGCTAACGCCGAACCCACCGGGCGGAACACCTGGTTCTTGGACAGTTGCTGTGGTCAGCACATGTGCTCCTCCGGACGCTTCGTACAACACGAGCGACGCCTCAACCGTGACGTCGTCATCACCGTCGCCAACAACGAAAACCTGAAAACAAATAGACAAGGCGTGGTTCAGTTACAATCAATGGAGACAAACGTTATTCTTCAGCTCAACAAGGTCCTCATCGTCGACAATCTGGGATACAACCTATTAAGCGTAAGCCAACTAATGGCTAAGGGGATTCACCTGGAGTGCGACTCCTTCTCCAACGAGTTCCGACTTTACCACGGGAAGGGCGGTCTCTTCATCGGTCGTGCCCTCCTGAAGTCCGGTGTCTTCGTGTTGGACTTCGTCCCCGACCGCGGAACTGCCGACAGCGACGGTATCGTATCCTTCGCCGCCTGGACTCATCCGCCAGATCTTGATCCCGACTTCGACAGCGACGGCTTCTGGCACTCCAACACCATACCTGCAGCAGAAAGAACACGAGCATTAGCAGTTATCAGACAAGAAAGACAAGTACCCGCATGTGTCCCAACAAAACCATCACCTGCAGTATCGGCAGCAGGACCCAGCCGAGTACCACCACCAGCGACACGAGGACAGCCAACCGAAGCAGACCAACTTATGCCCGCCACACGAGAAGCTTGTCGAAGTCCCGCCTCGGTCGTCGCGTTCTTCTCCAACGCCGACATCTACCACCGCTCGCCCGGTCACCGCGCTCCCGACGACATCTGGCACCAACGTCTCGGACATCCTGCAAACAGCACGATACTTCAAACAATCCAAGCAGAAGTGTTAGAACGCAACGCCCTTCTGACGACGAGCGGCCAGGAACTCCGACGACCACGCGCACGGTGTTTCACATGCCCCGAAGCAGATCTTCCTCATCAACCTTTCCCAGCCCATCACAATCCAAGCGCACCCACTTACGCTCCGATGGAAAAGGTCTACAGCGATATTCTAAACATGCCTCGAGACGACACCGAAGCCGACTTCAACTACGTCATCACGTTCATCGACGCCGCAACCAGATACGTCTGGCACTTCAATCTCAAAACGCGCGATCAAGCCTTCGAGGCATTCACCACATGGCTTCCAATCGCCGAACGAGAGTCAGGAACCAAACTCAAGAGTTTCCAGTCAGACGGTGCACTGGAATACCAGTCACAACGCTTCAGGACCTATCTCGCGGAAAGGGGAATCCGACGCCTGGTGTCTCTGCCCTATGCTCACCAGCAGCAGGGGGTAGCAGAACGCATGAACCGGACCTTGCAGACGACGATGCGAAAACTGCTTCTGGGGATGAGGCTGCCCAACGCACTGTGGCCAGACGCGATGACACATGCAGTCCACCTGCACAACCTGTTGTCCTCGTCATCGCTCCCCAACAACGCATCACCACACCTGCTGTGGACGGGAAAAAGGGGCAGCACAAAATTACTTCGAGTTTTCGGCTGCATGGTACAATACAGACCCCACACAGCTCGAGCAGGACGCTTCACTCAACGAGCTCGGTGGGGACTACACCTCGGCATCGCCAAACATTTTCACGCGTGGAAGATCCTCGACATACAAGACAAAAATACGGTGGCATCACGTGATGTTATCTTCTACGAGCGACTGACGCTGCAGCATTACCTGGACAACATTGCCAACTCAGACGACCCCACCGACGGCTTCGCGGGCCTTCGCTCCTTCGCTGACCATGCTGCCGAGGCTGACGCAGCAGAAGAAGACGTACCTGGAGCCTCGGAAGCTGCCGGGCCACTCCCATTCTGTTCCATACCTGTTCCACTCGATGAAGATAATCCCCTCGATAGCAACAACCTCGACACCTTTTACCACTTCGCCGACCAAGGTTACGCTACACCGCACCCCGTCGACACGAATATTTCGGAACGCATCGGCCCCAATTTCTTACCTGACCCCGAAGACGGTGACGAAGCAGCTTATTCGGGGAATGACAATTCCCCTCGACACACACCCACGGGACTCCAGATTCTAGGCCTCTGGGTCTCCGTCCAGCATCCGCCGCCGCCTTCTACGCGTGAGCCTTCAACCTTGTCGCAGGCTCTGGGGGGGGAACATAAGGCAAAATGGAAAGAAGCGATGGAAAAGGAGTTAAAAGCTCTGCAAGACCGAGAAACATGGAAACTGGTACCTGCAACGAGCATCAACGGGAAGAACGTTCTCTCGGGGAAATGGGTGTACCGCATCAAGACCAACTCAGACGGCTCCATCGAACGATTCAAAGCTCGATGGGTCGTACGAGGCTTCGATCAACGATACGGAACCGACTACACAGAAACCTTCGCCCCAGTCTCCCGTCACACCTCATTACGCATCCTACTCGCCGTCGCGGCCACAAAAACACTACCACTACGCCAAATCGATGTCGCGAATGCGTTCCTATACGCACCTGTGGACGCTGAGATCTTCGTCGAACAACCCCACGGATTCATCGACGACCCCACGAAAATATGCCGACTGACAAAATCCCTATACGGGATCAAGCAAGCCCCGCGGCTCTGGCAGCAGCATCTTCACAGCCGTCTCGTAAAAATCGGCTTCCTACAGCTGCCGCATGACCAAGGGATGTACCGACTGCAGAAGGGAAGAGAGTATGTTCTGCTCATCGTCTACGTCGACGACCTGCTCTACATCGGCTCAACTACCGACATCGCCACCTGGTTCGAAGGGGAGCTGAAAGAAGATTTAACTCTCACGGTGTCCGACGAAGTTACGCAGTACCTAGGACTGAACGTCGTCGAAGACGACACGGCGTTCTACCTACACGCTGGAAAGTACTCAAGCACCGTCGCGAAGAAATTCGCTCTAACACCGACTGCGGTCCCAACTCCCTACCGCTACGGGAACAACGGCAGCGCCTCTACAAAACTCCCCGCGAAACAAATCCAGGAGTATCAACAGAAGCTCGGCTGCCTACTATTCGCAGCAGTAACCTGCCGACCCGACCTATCCTATAGTGCGAGTCAGCTGGCGACACATCTGAAGCATCCGCAACAGGAAGATCTCGAAGAACTCAATCGAGCGCTACTCTACTTCGTCTCCACGCCGACGATCGGGCTTACCTACAGCAAGGCAACAACACCGTCCGTACGACTACTCGGATACGTCGACGCCGACCACGCGGGAGACAGCGAAAATCGACGGTCTAGGACGGGCTACATCTACCGACTAGAACCTATCGGAACTATCTCCTGGCAGTCGAGCAAGCAGGAGTTAATCGCACTATCCTCGGCTGAAGCAGAGTATATCGCCCTTTGTACTGCGACCAAGGAAGGACTCTACCTACGAGAGTTACTCGAAGAAGCGAAGATCGCGACCCTGCCCGCCTTCTCACTCCTCTGCGACAACCAATCTGCGATCAAAATCGCGAACAAGGACGGCTTCGCCAATCGAACCAAGCACATCGCCCTGCGGTACTTCTTCGTCAAGGATGAAATCGCGAAGGGGAGACTTCAACTCAGTTACTGCCCGACGACAGAAATGGCCGCAGATTATCTGACGAAGAAATTGGCGAAAGCAAAATTCGACTACTGCATGCTCCTAACCGGGCAAACAAACGCCACCAGATCTGAACACTCCAGCACTCCAGAAACGAAGGGGAGTGTTGGAAATATCTCAAGGACTTAAGCGTTTCTGAAGTGTAACACTGTACTCGAGGAAGACTACAGGGGAGCACGCGAGTCAACGGAGGTTACACGAGGGGGCGGACAAAGAATGCGAAAGGACTCGAAAGGTCGCAACTGGAGGTTGCGACTGACCGTTACAACATCACGGATGGTAACCGAAGCGGCAATCGAGTCGCTGTGCGACTCGATAAACCGTTCCTGTAACTGTATTCTACAACTGCTTTCTTATCTACTATATATTGCTGTATGCTTGTTTCTTTAATCAATCACTTGTTCTCACATACTAGTACAAGGGTTCAACCGTCTCAACTTCCGCTGCACTACTCCAAGTCTCAAGTCTCTACAAGCTGGGACTTAGTCTCTGCAAAAGATCCTAAGGGCTTTTCTCAGCCCAACAGAAGACATGGTAAGACACTGCCCACCAGCGACAATCCGAACCTGCGGGCGGATAAATACGCTTAAAAGCAGAGAACACATTAGTATAAAGGAACGTGTTTTGTTGGGAAACAACATCAGTCCTGACCAGAGGACCTACAGGCCCCCAGGGAACCCTAAACCCAGTACTACAGGGATTGTGGCACCTCAACCTTATGTATCTCTGCTCAAGATGCAAGCCCTCACTGCACCCCCAAAGGTCCCTTCAGCCGGCTTGGTTGTGGCAGGTATAAAGCACCACCCACTGTAGCCAGTGTATGCATCGATTTGCTTACTCATAAACCGATGAGTGCTTAGCGAGTGCACATTCAGCAAGCTTCTGAGAGGGCCTACTTTGTGCGGATGTCGCGGGTGATAGAGGTGGCATAGGAGGTAGGATGGGGAGGAGAAGGGGGGGGAGGGTAGAAAAACAGGGTTACAGTCTGCTCTCCCTCTGGCAGCAAAGGCGTAGGGATTGCAGCTCTGTTAGCATATGTTTGGCTTCCATCAAACAGACCTTGTTCTCCGACACGTCATCAACTTTTGGAGCAACATCCCACCCTCGAGGTACCGGCACATCTCGTCGCCTGGTCTGTCCCTGGGTCGACACCATGCTGGTGATAGTGGCAGTGGGGGAAGATGCGGGGGGTGACGAATGAATTTCAAAACAGGCCCCTTCGTGGCCGTCAGCAGCATGCCGATCTCTAGCATCAGGGCATACGTACGCGTCAGGATCCTCGTCTGCGCCCGCGATCACAACGCTGTCATCCGGTAGCGCATCAGCCGCCATGCACGGTGTGGTGCATGTCCCGGGCCCCGGGTTTATCACGTTGTTGCCAGGACCGCCGGCCGTCCCTTCCACAGGTGCAATCCTCAGCTCCGCAGCTGCAGTTGGGCACAACAACCTGGGTTTATTTGTAGTTGTTGTTTTTGGGCCCATGAACCACTTGCACCCTCTAATGCTTGCAGCCAGGATCTCATCTCACCATTTTCACGTGCGCGCTCAAAGGCCTTGCCTCTTCGTGCACCACCCCAACCATTCCCTCGCAGCGGGCGCAACGTGCCATTCTCCGCCTCGGCATACTGGGGGAAGTTGTAAACAAGCCCCTTGAGCTTGCGGTTTGGCTTGTCCATAAGCCCAGCTGCCGACCGTGCCGTCCTCTGTCCGTGCGTCAAATTCATGCCCATATTCATCCAGGTGCTGCTCCACAATCTCCCTCACCTCGCTCCCCTTATCACCTGGTAGGTGGGGGGGCATTATTTCTCTGTTTGGGGCTGGCAGCCCAGCCTTTGGGCATCTCATTAGCAGCATGCCAGCCAGCAGCATGCCTGATTGTCGGACTGGCTTTGGTCTACCAGCCAGCACCTGGCCTGGTAGGCCTTTTTGGCTACGTGTCCAGCTTTGGGGGTTGGCTTTAGGTGTCCGGCCAGCATGCCTGGTCGCCAGCCCGGCTAAGTGTCTATGCTTGCACTTTTGGGCAGCTTTCTAAGAAGGCATGCTTGGTGGTTGTCACATTGCTGCCAGTTCATGGACTGGTACTCGCCGTTATGTTACGGTGTGGACCCCACCTGCTTCGGTGGCTGCCCGCATCAGTCTCTTCCACGCTTTGGGCACGTTCACCGTGAAGTAGTAAAAGAGATCGGCTGTCGTCGCCTCTTCCTCCCCAGGCATCAGAGTTGACAGCCCGCACCGGCTGAAGCACACTGCTGCCCGCATGTATTCTGAAATCCCATGGTTGGCTTTGTCATGTTGACCCGCAATCGCAGTCGCTGTATGATCGCCTCCCTTTGCCGCATCCTTCCGCCGCCTGTTGGATGGGTTGTACCAGTCAGGTGCATGGGTTGGGTTCTTTGGCAAGTTGGTGGGATGTGCGTGCTGGCTGTGGGTGTTTGGGAGAAGAGCAGGCAAGGAATGAGTTTGCCTCGACTGGCTCACCGAGGTGTGCTTGTGTCTTCGCCAGTGGGTGCTGGGTCTGACAGTCAGATCGCGGCGAGCAGGCTGGCTTGCGGATGGCGCGGCGAGCAGGCTTTCTTGCGGGTGGCGTGGCTCGCCGGTGGTGCGGCGAGCTGGCAGGCTAGCGGGTGGCGTGGCGAGCTGCCGCCCTTTCTACGTCGGGGCGAGCTGGCGAGCTAGCGGCTGGCGCCCACGCGAGCTGGCGACAAGCTTGCAGCGCGCGGCGCGCGGCGGGCTAGTGGGGAGCGGATGGCGAGACGCGAGCGGCGGGCTGGCGGCGTGGCGTGGCGTGCAGAGAGCAACAGCCTCACGCTGGCGGAGGGCGATGCTCCCGAATGCAGGCCTCCCAATTGGCTTCAGAGGTACGCACCTCATGCAATTTCTCTTCCGCTTCCTCGCGCCCGATTTCCCTTGGCGCACGGTGCGTGGTGGCGGCGAATCGGTTTGCTGGGGTGTGTCGGCCCGTCATCTGCTGTGCGCGTTCTGCCCTCCTTCTACATCCATGTCCACCTTGCCCGCGCGTTACGTCTGTCGATTTTACGGGATACTCTTGTCCTAATCATGTCAACCATAAACTGTTCCTGTTCACTCTCACACAGCACGCGCGTCCCCGTCTCGAGTCGCCAAGTCCCCTCTCCCCGTGGCGTTGTGTATCCCGCTCCCTCTCACTGTGATGTGCGGCTTCTCCCTATTTCCCACTCTCTACCTCTTGATTTCGTCGCTCCTGTGACGAGTCGGATACTTCCCAACTTCTTCGTGTGTCTCCCCCCTACGGGGCGAACCCAACAGTTGTCGGGTCTTAGATCGTATTCTGAAGTTGGGCCGACGAGCAAAGTTTTCCCATGCGGCTCGAAATGTCTAAAATTGGGAATGCAATGTTGGGCTGTGCGCTTCGGCTTTTGCCGAACCCAAAAGTTTCGCCCATGTGCCCTGCGACATAGATGTACGACCAACGCGATCAATACGTCCGGTGCAAATTGCGACTGTGGATGAATGCGCCTCGTCTGGACGTGAGCCACGTTTGCAAAACAGAAGGCCCAGTGGCACGGTTACCGCATCAGCTGCCCGTAACAACACACAAACAAACGAGGCACGAAACGAATAACGGGCAGAACTTCCTGGACCCCAATATCGCCTCTCAAGCCATAAAAACCTAACCGCAACATCGCAACGCGATGGGTACAGTTTAGCAGTGCAGGTTTTGGGGCTGCTGGCGGGTTTTTTTGTACCAATGTTGTTGCAAAGTCAACCAAGGTTGCAGACGCGCAGCCGGTACATTCCCCTGGTCGCCTATGGGTCGCAGCCCGTTGTGCGTGCTTCCCAGTTGGCTGCGAAATTTTGGAGGTCGCATTCTCGCGGCTTGTTTTCGGTGGCCTTTTCGCGAGCGTTTCGCAGCAAGGCTGGGTATCCACCACGGTTTCCCGAGTCGCATGGGAAAACTTGGTGCCGAAGGGAAAACTTCGTCGTCGTCCCAACTTCAGAGTTCGATCTTAGCTTCTGCAGTCAAATCAGTGGGGAAGATTCTTTCTTTTGCCGTCAACACGTGCGAGTGATGACTTGGGGGGGCCCTTTAAAGCCAGGGTCTCAAGTAAGAGAAATTGGAGCAACTGCAAAACATTTGCTCGTAGGGTAACCATGTCAACCTTCGCAAAGTGTGGTTCAGTGGTTGGGACCCAAAAACAAGGCTCGGAGAAGCTCCAAGCCGAAACATTCAACTAGAAGGCAGAGGAAAGGTTACCGAACCCAATTACGTTCGGCAGCCAGGCAACCCAATTGCAAAACAAACGACGCACCCAACGGTACATGAGACTCTGGTCTCACACAGAACGCCCACACCCCAGGCACTGCTAGACCTCGTAAAGCTTAAAGCCCGTGTCTTATATTTCCTAAGGTAATACGCTTGGTACTAGGTAACATAGCTGCTCTTTGTGCGAGGGCTCACAAGTGAGTGCGAGAGTAGATATCCAACCTCAGCAAAGCGAACCCGAGAACGCGCTCGCAGTAAGCGAGGTTTTGGAACCTGGGCTGGGTAGACGAAATCATGACCCGAAAGTGACTCAAGAAACAAATTTTCGGCCCAAACTCAACACTGGAATTGCAACTGCTTGCGAAACTTCGAGAATCCAACCCCTACCATCCACGCCCTCAACGTTTCGTGAGCTCAAACCAAAGGTAAGACAGGTCCGCAGAAATACGAGACTCGAAGCCTCATCAAAGTTGGACCTTCAACGATTTCCAAAATCGTCGCAACCCTCGCCCACTCCCTTTCAAAATTTCCCCCTCGCCCCCCAATCAGACCCTCCCACCAAAGGTAATACCTTTGGTCGGTAGGAAATATGAGACGAGGGCTTTAAGGAAGGGGTAGCCCACATAACTAGGAAAAGCGGCCAGCACACGCCGCACATGGCGAAAGGCGCGGCGTTAGGAGGAAACGACACGGGGGGAACGCACGTGTTGGGAGCCCAGGGGAATCACCGCGGGTCGAGAAGAAGAGGCGCGACATTAGCGCGAATGCCGAGCCCAGCGAGAGGAATGAGGAGGTGAGGGCCGTGCGGGAGAGGGTGAAGAGGTGACGGGGGAGTAGGATAAGACCCCTTGGGATTACAGCTGTGGACGCAGGTCCCATGTCGCTCGATAAAAATAACCAGTGGCGCGATCCCGCCACGCCACGCACCCCAGCCAGATCTTTCCGCCAAAACGATGCCTGCCATTCAGCGCAGAGTGTAGCCGCGCCGCTCACCCCTCCCACACATCCCGCGTCGTCCCGCGTTCCGAGCCTTGCTACACTCCCATGCATTCCGCGCAGTCTCTCTCCCCTCCCACGCATTCCGCGACGTCTCTCTCCCCTCCCACGCATTCCGCGCCGTCTCTCTCCCCTCCCACGCGTTCCGCGCCGTCTCTCTCCCCTCCCACGCGTTCCGCGCCGTCTCTCTCCCCTCCCACGCGTTCCGCGCCGTCTCTCTCCCCTCCCACGCGTTCCGCGCCGTCTCTCTCCCCTCCCACGCGTTCCGCGCCGTCTCTCTCCCCTCCCACGCGTTCCGCGCCGTCTCTCTCCCCTCCCACGCGTTCCGCGCCGTCTCTCTCCCCTCCCACGCGTTCCGCGCCGTCTCTCTCCCCTCCCACGCGTTCCGTGCCGTCTCTCTCCCCTCCCACGCCTTCCGCGCCGTCTCTCTCCCCTCCCACGCCTTCCGCCTCCTCTCTCTACCCCTCCCACGCCTTCCGCATCCTCTCTCTCCCCTCCCACGCCTTCTGCGTCCTCTCTCTCCCCTCCCACGCCTTCCGCGTCCTCTCTCCCCCCTCCCACGCTTCCGCGTCGTCTCTCTCCCCTCCCACGCTTCCGCGTCGTCTCTCTCCCCCCCCATGCGTTCCGCATCGTCTCTCTCCCCCCCCACGCGTTCCTCGTGTCTCTCTCCCCTCCCACGCTTCTGCGTCGTCTCTCTCCCCTCCCACACGTTCCGCGTCGTCTCTCTCCCCTCCCATGCGTTCCACGTCGTCTCTCTCCCCTCCCACGCGTTCCGCGTCGTCTCTCTCCCCTCCCACGCGTTCCTCGTCGTCTCTCTCCCCTCCCACACTTCCGCGTCGTCTCTCTCCCCTCCCACGCTTCCGCGTCGTCTCTCCCCCCTCCCACGCGTTCCGCGTCCTCTCTGGCCCCTCCCACGCGTTCCGCGTCCTCTCTGCCCCCTCCCACGCATTCCGCGGGGTCTCTCTCCCCACCCACGCATTCCGCATCATCTCTCTCCCCTCTCACGCATTCCGCGTCGCCTCGCTCCTCTCCCTGTATCCCGCCTATACCGCGCGCCCCTACCCATCATTCCGCGTGAGGCTGACTCCCCTCTTACGCGCCTCCGCTGCGCCTCGGAGCCCACTAGCGCCATTTGCCACGCCACGCTCCCCTGGCAGAGGCAGCGGGGTGCACAGCGGCAGGCCTTCAGCCAATAATACACCCTCCACTCCGCATTTTGCCGTTTTTGCGACGAGGGTAGAGAATGGGAACAGAGGGGACAAAGAAGGCCATTGGTGATGGTCAGGGGGGGGAGCCAGGAGCGGGGAAGACATAGAGTTCGGGAAAGCCCACAGAGAATGCAGAGAAAAACAGGAAGTGTGGCATTGGAGAGGGGCGGTGAGATGAGAGATACTGGGGAGAGGGGCGGAAGAGCAGGGAGAGAATTGGGAGACAGCGGGGGGGAGGGTGGGGATAGATAGAAACAGGATAGGGTGGCATTAGAGTGGGAAGGGAGTTGGGAGGTAGTGGGGAGGGGGATGGGAACCGAGCTGGAGAGAATGGGGAGACAGCGCGGGGAGGGTGGGTAGAGAAACAGGAGAGGGTGGCATTAGAGAGGGAAGAGAGTTGGGAGGTAGTGGTGAGAGGGTGGATAGAGCAGAAAGAGAATTGGGAGACAAGGGGGGAGGGTGGGGAGAGAAACAGGAGAGGGTGGCATTAGAGAGGGAAGATAGTTGGGAGGTTGTGGGGGGGAGAGAATTGGGAGACAGGGGGGGAGGAGTGCGGTAAGAGAAACAGGAGAGGGTGGCAATAGATAGGGAAGAGAGTTGGGAGGTAGTGGTGAGAGGGTGGAAAGAACAGGCAGAGAATTGGGAGACAGGGGGGGGAGGGTGGGGAGAGAAACAAGAGAAAATGACATTAGAGAGGGAAGAGAGCTGGGAGGTAGTGGGGAGAGGGTGGCACTAGTGAGGGAATAGAGTAAGGTGGTAGTGGGTAGAGGGTGGGGAGCGAGAGGGAGAGAATGGGGAGACAGCGGGGGGGGGGGGTGGGTGGAGAAACAGGAGAGTGTGGCATTAGATAGGGAAGAGAGTTGGGAGGTAGTGGTGAGAGGGTGGAGAGAGCAGACAGAGAATTGGGAGACCGGGGGGGGGGGGGGGGGAGGGGGGGGGGGGGGGTGGGGAGAGAAACAGGAGAGTGTAGCTTTTGTGAGGGAAACAGGTTGGGACGGTGAGGAGAGAGAGGGAGAGAATGTTGAGACCGCAAGAGACGGTGGGTAGACTTTCAGGAAAGCATGGCCTTAGAGAAGGTAGAGTGTTGGGAAGTGAAAAACATGGTGGCGCCAAAAGAGGTCCCTTGAGGAATGAGGGAAAGAGGCCTGAATCTGTCCAAGAGTCACTTGAGACACGGCCCTACCTCCATCACCAAACCCACCACCGGATGCTCGTATTCCCCCATGCATTACACGTACGGCCCACCACCATCATTCACTATGCACGCGCATTGAGCCACCTTCCGACACTCCAATCACCACAAATTCACCCCTCCAGTCTCCCACATATCCACCTGTGGTTGCCCCCAATCCAACTGACATAAACGTGCTGTCTCCCCTCCATGGCCCACTTTATTTGTCCAATTATCATAGCCAGCAGCCCCCCAACAATGCGGATTGACAGAGCTGATGGGTGGAGACTACATCGCGAGCCACAATGACGTCATAGCAGTTCTGGCGTCTGAGGCATCAGACGCAGTCGCGACGTTGTTTACAGCGGCAGAAAAGGCAGGTATGCGTAACAAAGAGTTCGGCCCCGCCAGGATGCTGTTTAGAGCAACCGTGTCAAAGTTAAGGTAGGTGGTATAGGGCATGGATTACCCGACAAGTGCATCAGCCCCCTGGTATGCCCCAATGCATAATCCTGGGTTTTGTGTG